TATTACAAATATTAAATACAATAAATAATATTATTTATCATAAAACTTATTATTAATATTTTAAAAATATTAAAATAATGTATTTATTATTAAATATTATTTTTATAATTTTATTAAATAAAAATATTAATATTGGTATATTTTATTGAAATAAAAATATTATAAATTATATTAATTTATTAAAGTAATAGTGTATATTATATTTTAAAATATTAATTAGTATATTTTAAATATATTTATTAAAATATTATAGATTATATAATATTAATAATATATAAATAATATTATTCATTATTAATAATTTAATAATATTATTTATACGAAATTAATAAAAAATATAAATTTTTATTATATTTATTATTATTATTAAATAAAAAATTAATATCTTATATTATTATAATATAATTGATTATTTATTATAATATTAAAAATATATATTATATTATTAGAATATTAATATATTTTAAATTTTAATAATTATCTTTTAATTAAATGATATTAAATATTTATTAATATTAAATTCATAAAATAAAATTATTTTGAGTATTTATTATTTGAAGTGAAAATCGGAAAATGACTTACGGAAAATCAGACCGTAAGTCATTTTCCATAAACAAAAAGGAAATTCTGTTGAACAGGAAAATGTTTACGTTGACCACCCAATTTTCCTCCAACCAACCTAGAAAACATTTTTCGAAAAACGAATTACGTGAAACAAACACGGAATTTCGGAATTGGTTTTCCCCTAAACAAACCGACCCTAACTCAAACTAAATAATGTAAAATTCAATTGAAATAATAAAATATTTAATAAATATAAAACTAAAAGTATTTGTGAAAAAATCATTTACATTTTTATTTATTATGATTCGTATTAGCTAAGAAAATAAATAAATCTACTAAATATCTTACAAGAAGACCTGTATACTCTACATAGGGTGTTTATCGAGTGAGTCAATCATGAGTTGGGTAGTATTTGACTCGTGCTCGTTAAAAGTTTTGTTGCTCAACTCGACTCGTTGCTTGTTAAGCTCGTTAAAATTTTGCTCCATTCGTGCTCGTTAAAAACTTGTTGTTCAGCTCGTTGCTCGTTAAGCTCGTTGCTTAGTTTGTTGTTTATTAAGCGCGTTGCTCATTAAACTCACTGAATTTGTACTTATTTTTTTAACTATATATAAAATATACTAAACTATGTAGAACTTAATATAACATAAACTAATAATTTAATCCAAAATTATTGAAAGAGTGTATGAAGTAATTTTAAAGTCTAAACTCCAAAACAACAATCCATATATATTAAATAATAATTTAAGGTTTGATTATGGGTGTAGTAAATAATAATTATTAATTAATATTAGTATTTCTTTATTTTATTAAAAAAATAATAGATTAGTAATTTATCATCTTTCATTATATATAATAAATTAATAAATTTTAAAATAATTACTAAAATTATAAAAAAAATTAACGAGCTACTCGCGAACTTATCGAGTCGAGTTGGCCTTTTCTCGGCTCAACTCGTTAAGATCTAGAGTCGAGTTCGAGTCGAGTATCCGAATCAATTCAAACTGCTCACAAACTGATCAACTAATTAATTACCCCTAATTTACACATTCATTTTAGTATGTACTATCCCCCAATCAATACCGAGCCTATTATTTACATCATTCATTCTGTTATTATTTAAACTATATATTTAGTCATTTAATTATCACTTTAATTTCATTTTAGTCACTCAACTATTTTTTCAAAATCATTCTTACTATTACATTTTGATTCATTTTGGTTAATTGCTGTTAAAAAAATAAACAGAATTGCCAACATGGCAATTTTTATTTTTTCAATGATATGTAACATTACATTAGGTTACACGTCAACAATATGTTATTTTTTAACGGTGGGTGATCAAAATAAAATTAAAATGTAAATGTATAATTTTGAAAAAGTAATAATTAGACGATTAAAACTGAACGAAAATATTAGTTAGATAACTAAATATGTAGTTTATCCAATTACTTATTGGTGTATTTAAGGATATACTATGAAAAATTAAGAAATATTGATATTTTTAAATTATTTAGGATCACTTGATTTACTAAATGTAAGATTATGACATTAACTACTGTTAATTGTTGTTAAAGGAATAATGCGACTCATTAAATTATGGTCAATATATTATTTGTCTCTTAATCGTAACTAAATTTTATTTTGACATTTTTAATATTTATAAGTAAAAATTATAAAAAAAATAAAAAAATATAAATTTTATAGTTTATTTTTAGAATAAAAATATTTTTAAATTTTTTAAATTTAATATATTTTTTAAAATAAATATAAAGATTTACTTCCTTGAAAGTAAATGTAATTTTACTTCTTTAAATGAAAATATTACTATTTGTACATTGACAACGGCAATCTAATTAAAATTCTTTTCAAAGATGCCATCGTTTAATTGTTTTCATATCGTAAAAGTAAAAATATTTAGATTATTAAATAGAAAGTATTATAAATACAATTCATATATATTTAATAAGAAATATTTGAATTCATTAATGATTTCAATAATTAATAAAATATCATTTTCTCTAAAAATTCTGAATTTAAACAATTGCGTCTACAAGTGTGTATTTATTATTAATGATTTAAAAGGATTATGAATTAATACTATCTTGTAATCACTCTAAACTATTAAAAAAAGAGAAATAACTTGAGTAATGAATCATTGATGAAAACACGAATGGTAGTAAGGCAAGAAACATGAAATGTGATTTTTTTTAATAATCTAAAATAATTATAAAATAATATATATTAATTTTTTAATCATTAATAAAATTAGGATAAAATTATATTTTTCCCTTCTCCACCAAGTCATAATTCAATACATAAATAAGCAATTAATGCAAACCCCATTATTCACACTTGCATGTTTCACCAAGTGCAAGCCCATTGGTGCTTTAACCTTTTTGACTGGGAAATGCAAAGACCACGGAATGAGACCAGGGGCAATAAGAGGGTTAGTTTGAATTTTTTTTTAAATTCATTGATCGATTAATTTAAATCAAATACTATATAGGTAAGAGAATCCTCTTAACCTAATTTACTCAATTCGCAAACGTCAAAGTTCAAACTTCTAATATATTTTTAAGGAATCTAGTGTATCATTCTATTAAATCAATCGATTGTTGGCGTTAGTTTGGGATATTAAAGTATATGATTTGGTCGAATTTCAATTAAATAGATATCCATATATTTGTACATTTTATTTTTGTAATATGTTCAATTTTATTTAATTTATTATAGAAAAGTTAAGAAAAAAATTTACGTATCTGTTATATGTTTATATCCGTTTGTAATTCATTTCATATAATTTTTTATAATAATTTAATTTAAAAAATATATACGTTCATATGTGATTATATTGAAAATATTATAATTTATAAATATTTTTGGTTAAAAAGCTCATGGTGTTCACCTCTTTCTGAAAATCTTTACAAGTTGTCATCCTATAATTTTCTCAAGTATCATTTACACCCTATGTTCATAGCTTCGAGATAGATCAACTAGACATTAAATGCAAATAAATAAATAAATAGATGGTGATCTCTCTCTTTTTTCTTTTGGGACAATTTTGGGGGAAAAAAATTCTTTTTAGCTGATACAATGGTTGTGTGAAGAATCCACTTAATCTGTGTCATAGACGCCCATTGAAAATTTATTTGTTTATTAGTATTTAAAAGCATTTTAGTTGTACAAATTAAACGATTTTGGTAGTAAAAAAATTGTTGTTATTTATTAAAATTTTAGGCTTTGAGCTCAATAATATCATGATGTAAGTATTCAATATCAAAAAATTAAAGATTTATATTATAATATATATTATTTTATATTATATTATTTTATATTTATCCTGATTAATAAAAAATAATTTTTTTTAGTTTCACTAAATTTTCTTTTTCAGCCATCAGCTGGTCCATAGATAAATTACATAAATAAATAAGTAATGCATTGCAAACCCCTCATTCACACTTCAATGATTTGCTTAGTGCAAATCCCATTGGTTCTTTGACTGGGATTTGCAACGCATTAGACCACCGATTCAGACTTAACATCCACTTTCACGCTTTAATTTGCTTTTGTCTGTATAGGTTAAGATTGCAGTTTTGTCGGTACAAATCAAATATTGTAATTATTTATTATAAAAACATTTTTTATATTATTAAATTAACTTATAGTTGATAAATATAATTTTATATGTACATAATTTTATGTTTACATATATATATATATATATATTGAAAAAGAGTCTCAAAATAATTATTTTAAGTACTAATTTTGGAGTGTGGCACTTTAATTTTCCTAACACAATCGACTTATGAATCAAAATATTATACTAATATATTTTTTAGTTGTCCTCTCAATTCTAAATATTCTCTTTAATTAATTTAGATCGAATCGTATTGTATATTTAATTTTAATGGATAAGTCTTTTAACATGGATTTTTTGCATACACAAAGACTCGAACTCGATATTTTACTTAAACGATATCAAGCTACTTACCACTTGAAGCAACCATAACAAACTTTTCAAATATCCAATATATTTGGAATTAAAAGGTTTTGACACAATTATAAGAAAACAAGTTAAGATATAAATTACACGAATAAATTAGTGGTTAAAAGTATAATTGTTATTCTTAGAGATTATAAGTTTAAACACCAACGATTACAAGAGTATATAAGTATTCATTGTGAAATAGGTAAGAGTTTTTAAAAAAATATTATCACTTGTAATTATCTTAAATTAATAAATAAAAGAAGTTAATATAATATTACTGTGTCTTGCAATTGTTTTTCAGAATTTACTATCCCAAAACGGTGACAGTTTAAAAACAAAAAAACCCCTGGAAATAAACTCCCATTAGTATATAACAAAAGTTCTCTCCAGCAATAACTCGCTCGCCACCTTTCTTACAATATCCCACTTGTTCTTCTTATTTCGACCCCTCGTAGAAAAGTTTGTCCTTTTGTTTACCGGTTTCAAATCTCCGACATGTCAAACGCCTGTTCTTACCATCAAATCCTTCTCTATTTTTGTCTGATGTTCTGTTTCTACTTGCCTTGTTGTGTAAAATCCGATGAACTCCAAATGTTATTGAACCTGAAATCAGCTCTTAATGAATCAAGCACCAATGTTTTTGATTCATGGGAGTCTACAAATTCTGTTTGTAGCTTCAACAGAATCACTTGCAACACCGAAGGGTCTGTTAAGGAAATCGAGCTTTCGAACCAGAACCTGGTGGGTGTTCTTCCTTTGGATTCGATATGTCAGCTTCAATCTTTGGATAAGCTCTCCTTGGGGTTCAACTCATTGCACGGAGAAATCACTGAAGAATTGGGTAATTGTTTAAATCTTCAATATTTGGATCTCGGAAACAATCCCTTCACCGGTTCGTTTCCAGATATAGCATCTCTCAGCAAATTACAGTCTCTATACTTGAATGGAAGTGGATTTTCCGGCATCTTCCCATGGAAATCGCTTGAAAACATGACGGATATTGCTGTTCTAAGCCTCGGGGATAATCCTTTCGATCGAGCTCTGTTCCCTGATCAGATTTTGAAGTTAAAGAAACTGAATTGGCTTTACTTGGCGAATTGCAGCATCGAGGGGAAGATTCCACCCGCCATTGGAGACCTCACTGAGCTTATGGAACTGGAGCTTCAATACAATTATTTGTCAGGTGAAATTCCGATGGAGATTGGAAAGCTTCACAAGCTATGGCAGCTTGAGCTTTACAACAATGAATTGACCGGGAAACTTCCTGTCGGATTGCGAAATCTTACGAAGCTCGAATTTTTCGATGCCTCGGCAAACAATCTTGAAGGAGATATTGCAGTGGTGGGGTCTATGACAAATCTGATAAGCCTGCAACTCTTTGAGAACAAATTTTCCGGCGGAGTGCCGCCGGAGCTGGGCGAGTTCAAGAAACTGGTGAACCTGTCTCTCTACACTAATTTGTTGACGGGCCCTTTGCCTCAAAAACTTGGTTCTTGGGCTGAATTCAACTACATCGATGTGTCGGAGAATTTCTTGACTGGTCCGATTCCGCCCGACATGTGCAAGAAAGGTACCATGAGAGCTCTTCTTATGCTTCAGAACAAGTTCTCCGGCGAAATTCCGGCGACTTACGCGAGTTGCACCACGTTGAAGCGGTTTAGAGTCAGTAACAACTCACTCTCCGGCATTGTTCCGGCGGGAATATGGGGATTACCGGTAGTGGATATAATTGATATTGCCTACAATCAACTTGAAGGTCCAATTACATCTGATATTAAGAACGCTAAACAAATGGGGATACTGTCGGCTGAATTCAATCAGTTCTCAAGTGAATTGCCTGGAGAGATTTCGGAAGCTAAATCTTTGGTTAGAATTGAGCTAAACGACAATCAATTTTCAGGGAAAATCCCACATGGAATCGGGGAACTTAAAAGATTGAGCAACCTTAACTTGCAGAACAACAGGTTGTCTGGTTCAATACCAGATTCACTAGGTTCTTGTGTTTCCATCAGTTCCATAAACATTGCTGATAACGTTCTTTCTGACAAAATCCCATTGTCATAACCATTTTTTTTGTAAAACAATTCTGTATTATTTTAAAAACGATTACGACTTTATTTTGGAAAAATTGGTGATTTGTAATTAATTTGAATTAAATTGAATAGAGTCGCCATCGACCTTTGGGTTAGGTAGGCCGAATACCTAAAAACGTCTTTTAAAACAATTTTAAGAAAGATCATTTTTAAGACAAAAATAGTCTGCGTTTACCAAAGATTCAATTAAAATGGATTCGGGAGTCGGTTACGTGTGGGGAAGGATAAACACCCCCACAACGCCCAAAATTGGTACTGTGTCGCTTACACATCGTCGTAAATGGTGGAAATTACAATTTGAATATGAAGTAAAAAAAATGATCCATTTATTGAATATTAGTTAAAATAATAGAAATACTTCACTTGGTAAGAAATCTCGATTTGCATCCTCCAACGGGAAAGCTATCTCATCTATTTCTCATCTATAAAGTATATCCTATCTTTGAATTACCACTAAATAATATCATCATGAGTAAAAAATAAAATGCTTAATTTATGTATCGTTAATATCAACATAACAACCATTAATACAATAAAAATTATGAAAATAGAATAATAAATAAATTATGATCTATTTATTGATATTAGTTATAATAAATAAAAAAAATCCTTTTCTCGATAAGAAATCCCGAGATTTGCAATCCTCCGCCGGAAAGCTACCTCGTCTATTTCTTACTTGTAAAGAATATTTTCTCTTTAAAAAAAAAAAATGACGAAATTGACATAATGCATCACACTATACTTTCCAAAGCATACATCACTCTAGATTCAATGAAGAAATAATAATAAAGATTAAATTTAATATTAAACAATATGAACATCAAATAAATTAACAAAAAATAAAATAAAAAATAATTTCTATAAGCTTGTAAAAGGAAGAATTTGCATTTTTTATTCTGTTCGAACGTCGTATCGGATTGTACCACTTCGATCAAGTGATACTTTCCACGCCCGTTCTATAAATATGTGTTTGAAATTATTCGAATAATATACAATAGAGAAATACAATGGGAATAATATAATAAAATATGCGACATAGAATCTTTACATTAAATAAAAACACAACATTATTTACATAATACAAATAACCAAATAACAATATCATATAAAACTGACTACATAAAATAAGTAAATATTACAAATTAAGATAAAATGATCAAAAGCAAGTAAAAGGACTAGAATAACAACACATAAACTCAAAGAGCCAAAATGGTAAAATCAGGAACTAAAGGACTACAATGAAAGAAAATAAAAATTAAAATAGCAATTTCAGATAAATCAGAGTCCATACTAAAAAATACTAAATAGCATATGTACTAAGCTAAAAATAAACCATAAATCATGTACAGGACTAAATGAAAAAAAAAACAGGAACATAAGGATTCAACAGCAGTTAAACCAATTTCCACATGATGATTAAATTACAACACTTATAAATGCCGTGACCAAATCAAATGTTAATAGAAATGTCATAACAAACAATAACAGTACTAAGTTATAAGTTCTGAAAACTTATTGCTCGAAATCAAAGAAATTATCATTTCATTTAATGGTTAACAATATGATTACAAGACCCTAGGGACTAAAAGTGTAGTTAACCACACGAGGAAAATGCAGAACCCTTCTTTCTAAAACACGGCCGTTTCACACGGGGCATTAAAGCCCTAAAACGAGATTGGCCCTCATTCCCTCATCTCTACTTCTTCCCTTCTTAAAACGAGAGCCAAAGAATGCTCTCAAAGTTTCCCTCTCCGCCTCTGTCTCCGCCGTGGAGAGAAAAAAAAAGGGCCACGGCCGCCGCAGCCAGCGGCGATGGCTTGAGAGATCAAACCACGACCAACCCTCCTCTCTTCCTTAGAACAAAAACCTTTCTCCTACCCCAAGCAAAAAAAACCGAAAACCTATCCGAAAACCCTAGATCCAAAATAAGGGACAGTTTACCTTCAATGCGGCCTTCTCTGTTCTGGCTAGGCTACAACGACGAGGTTTTCTACAAGGGTAAGATCTCCTTCACTTTGTTTTTTTTTTTAGCCCTCCCTCTTTTTCTGGTTATCACCGCCCTCTTTTCTCTTCTTTTGTCTTTTTATCTTTTCTTGCATGTGGATTTCCTTGAGATCATGATGATATCTAGGTAGATAGCCTTTGATTTCTCTGATTTAGGTGAATAAAATCCGATTTTTCGGGATTTTCGGGTGTTATTTTAATGGGTTTTTAGATTTGGTAAGTTTAGGCCACTATTCTTTGATTTGGTTACTGTTTTTACAGGGACCGGTCACTGTTTGATGGATGGATTCTTCACAGCTCCGATGACAGCGCGGTGAGGGAAGCAGCCAGCTTGACCGGCTGGGCAAATGAAGGTCCAACGGCTGTGGCGGCTGAGGCAGAGAAGGGTCACACGGCGGCTGGAAGGGGATTAGGGTTGAAACCCTAAATTGATTTAGGGTTTGAAACCCTAAATTGATTTAGGGTTTGAAACCCTAAACTGATTTAGGGTTTGAAACCCTAAACTGATTTAGGGTTTGAAACCCTAAACTGATTTAGGGTTTGAAACCCTAAACTGATTTAGGGTTTGAAACCCTAAATTGATTTAGGGTTTGAAACCCTAATCTGATGGGTTGTTGGGGACCGGGATTGGGCCAATGTAATCTGAATTGGGCTTAGGGTCTCTGGGCCAAATGGGCTTCGGGTTGTTGGGCCTCTGTAATCTGAATTGGGCTTAGGGATTAGGCCTGCAAAAATTGTAATAAATAATAATAAAATAATATATGATAATATAATAATAATAATAATAATAACGAAAAAAACCCGGACAAAAACGGGTGTTTACAGCTGCCCCTCTTTGCACATTCTTGTGTTAACAAGAATAGGGCAAAGACGACAAGAAAACACGTTTTTTTGTCTGGTTCTCTCTTTTTGGGTTTGAAAAGATGGATAATTTTGTTGGTGGGGACACTGCTCGTACGCAATGAAGAGGTCTGGTCGTCTAAGGGTGACATGGCTCCTACGTGATGAGGAAATCTGGTCATTTTTAGGGATGATAACTCGGTTCCTACGTAATGAGGACTGGTTATCAGGTTGACACGGCTCTTACGTGATGAAGAGATCTGGCCATCTAAAGGTGATAACACGGTTCCTACGTGATGAGGACGGCTGGTTATCAGGTTGACACGGCTCTTACGTGATGAAGAGATCTGGCCATCTAAAGGTGATAACACGGTTCCTACGTGATGAGGACGGCTGGTTTCAGTTGACACGGCTCTTACGTGAGAAGAGATCTGGCCATCTAAAGGTGATAACACGGTTCCTACGTGATGAGGACGGCTGGTTATCAGGTTGACACGGCTCTTACGTGATGAAGAGATCTGGCCATCTAAAGGTGATAACACGGTTCCTACGTGATGAGGACGGCTGGTTATCAGGTTGACACGGCTCTTACGTGATGAAGAGATCTGGCCATCTAAAGGTGAGGTGATAACTCGGTTCCTACGTGATAAGGACGGCTGGTTATCCTAATGTTGACACGGCTCCTACGTGATGAGGAAGTCTGGTCAGTTGATGTTGACTGATTCATTGCTTCAGTTAGTCTTGAAGATCCTGTAAAATGGTCATATGCCATGATTTCATGTTATCAATATGCTCTAAGAATGATCTAAATGCATGTTTAAAGGGTTATGCTCAGCTCGTTCCTGGCATTAAGAATCTCTCATACTCTTGATCGAACATGCGATTTTATGCATTTATCCATGCCTGGTTATTTCCTTGACCTCTCATTATATTCTTTGACTTGGTCCTTCTGATCTACCCCAAGAGAGTTTATCTTGCCTCTTTGATTCTTTGGTCATTGATGATTTTTCAGAGAAAATTCATTCAGAATGACCTTTCCTTGGTGCATGCCTTTAAATTGGGACTTCTTGCTTGGGAAAAGTATGATTATGTTGAAACTGATTTCTTTAATCTGAACCCTTTTTTCAATAGCTTGCTCAATGATTTGGGAGCGTGCCTTTGTATGTGTTCTCTGCGAACACTGTTTCAAAATCCCCATCTCACTTTTCCGAGTAAGGCATAATAACCGATGTTATTGATTAGTAATTTGGTGAATATATGCGAGGATATTGAATCAAATTCAAAAATTTTACTGAAGATAGGTAATGAGAAAGTACAATCTTTTGGGACAAGAAACAAGTATATACAAGGAAAAAATAATGGACAAATATAGTGAATATCAAATGCTGAATCCTTTTACTTCTTCACTCCAAATCTTTCTTGAAAGTTGACATGTGTTTTCGAAGATTCAGATCGTACAAAAGATGTGTGAGTATGAGTCTTTCCCTAAACTGTTAGGCTTCCAAGGGAATCCACCATTTCAATTCTGATTATTCGAGCCGTCCATTACGGATTTTCAATCGAATCCTCCTTTGGTTTCAAGATGCCCATTTTGGGTTTTCATCTTGAACCCTCCTTTTTCTTTCTTTTTCATTTTTCATTTCCTTTTCTTTTTTTTTTTTTTTTTTTTTTTTTTTTTTAAGTGTAATATCGCTTGACCGAATCTGAATTCACGGGATTAGGCAAATCTTCCCCATCCATTTCTGTTAACACCAAGCTCCTCCTGAGAATGCCTTTTTTACAACATAGGGACCTTCCCAGTTCGGCATCCACTTCCCTCGAAAGTCTTTTGCATAGGTAAGATCTTTTTAGTACCAAATCGCCTTCACGAAATTCTCGAGGTCTGACTTTCTTGTCATATGCTCGTATCATCCTTCTCTGGTACATTTGGCCATGGCAGATAGCTCTCAGCCTTTTCTCCTCAATCAATTTAATTGATCAAACTACTTTGTACCCAATCAGCCTCGTCTAGTTTCAACTCCATCAATACTCTCAAAGAAGGTATTTCCACCTCAATAGGTAAAACTGCTTCCATCCCATATACCAAGAGAATGGTGTTGCCCCAGTAGATGTACGAACGGACGTGCG